CCTGGTTACTGCAAGACCGGCTAGTCCTGGTTACTGCATGAGCATTTTGTGAAAAATGGCTGTTTTCATTGAAAAGCCTCCTGTTACAAGTTCAGATTGCTGTAAAACTATGAAAGATGCTCCAATATTTATCAAACTTAAACAAATGTTTGGACTGGACGATAGCCTTTGTAGCGGCATGCTGAGTCTTAAATTGCCCATTACCTTGGCAACAAGGGGATATCTTATAATCGCCAAAAATCACCATTGATTTTTCCCATCCAAACTGATTTCGATGTGCTGCCACTGCTCAATGGATTGAGAAAGAATCAAAGGCTTTTCAGCGTTTGTTACCTGCTACCTTCTGATCGACCTGATGCCAATTTTAGCCTATCACAGGTCCCAAATTTTCTTGGCTATGAGTTGGTTGTTGCCCCTCTTCAAATCCCTGAGCAGATACGGCACATCCCCCTTCTGGCACCCTTCTTTCTGATAGTGGTCGGCGCTAAAAAAAGTGATCAGTCACTCTTTTATCAAAATTTCTTAAACGAAAACAAGTGATTGGGGTCTAAAAAGGACATGTTTTTATTCCACCGCAGCATCTGCGATACGGTGGCATATAGTGATTCACCTGTGTGTGTGTGTGTGTGTTTGTGTATGTGTGTGTTATAAGTGAACTTAAAAAATCTTCTTGTGAAAAACCACAAGTCCAATTTCAACCAAACTTGGCAGGATTGATCCTTGGGTGAAGGGCCAAAAAATTTCATTCTATGCAGAAATATGGTTGCCATGGCAACCAAAAGGAATTATAAGAATAAATTTAAATAATCTTCTTGTAAAGACCCAAAAACCCTAGAGCTTAGATATTTTGCATAAGGCATTGTCTGGTAGACCTCTAACAAGATTGTTTAAATTATAGCCCTAGGGTTAAAATTGGCCCGGCCCGGGGGTCATTGACTTTCACTATATGTACATATAGTAAAAACTTAAAATACCTTCTTGTAAAGACCCAAAAGGCCTAGAGCTTAGATATTTTGCATAAGGCATTGTCTGGTAGCCCCTCACAAAGATTGTTCAAATTATAGCCCTGGGGTCAAACTCGGCCCCGCCCCGGGGATTATTGATTTTCACTATAATTATGTACATATAGTTAAAACTTAAAATACCTTCTTGTAAAGACCCCATAGGCCTAGAGCTTAGATATTTTGCATACGGCATTGTCTGGGAGACCTCTACCGAGATTGTTAAAATTATAGCCCTGGGGTCAAAATCGGCCCCACCCCAGGGGTCATTGGTTTTCGTTCTATGTTTATAGTAAAAACTTAAAAAAAAATCTTCTAGCAATTGACAAATGCTAGAGGTTAGATATTTTGCATGAAACATTGTGTAGTAAACCTCTAGCAAGATTGTTCAAATTATAGCCCTGGGGTCAAAATTGCCCCCGCCCTGGGGGTCATTGATTTCAATATATACATATAGTAAAAAATCAAAAAATTCTTTCTGTCTGAAGGTACAAGGCTTAGAGCTTTAATATTTGTTAAATAATATCATCTATAGGTACTCTACCAAAATTGTTCAAATTTTGCCTCTAGTGTCAAAATTAGCCCCGCCCCGGGGGCCATAGGTTTTCCTTATATGTTTATAGTTAAAACTTAAAAAATCATCTTCTCTAAATTTACAAAGGCTAGAGTTAAGATAGTTTGCATGAAACATTGTGTAGTGAACCTCTAGCAAGATTGTACAACTTATAGCCCTGGGGTCAAAATTGGCCCCACCCCAAGGGGTGCAGTGATTCTCATTATGTACACATAGTAAAAACAGAAAATAAAACAAGAACCTGTTTGTTAAACACAAATGCCCCCGGCTCAGATTCTTGTCAGTAGCAATATTTCAAAAAATGTTTACCCATTCACTCAGTTATGGACAGAAAAATTGCCAAAATATTGTAAACACAAGTTATATAGCTTGACAAAGTAATGTCAGTTTGTAATTGTTAAAAATATAAGTTGCCAAGTCATTGCTCTGACTTGTGAAGTTGTTAAATATTCAACTTCATGCAAGTTATCTTCCTACCAAATATGAAATACATTTGTCATTAAACTAGAACTATCACTAAATGTGATTAATACCCCCACAAGACTGCTTCGGAAATGAGGATGTTACTAGTAACAGAATACCTGGTAAAAGAATTGAAATATAGAGTTATGGTTGTGGGCAATTAAAGATAGTTGTGGTTCTTATATGTTGCATTTCCTTTCAATGTGGTTGGCCATTGATGAAGTTTAATTGAATTACTCTGTAATAAGTCCAGAAAGACAAAGAAAAGGAACAAAGGGCAATAACTCTATAAATACTGAAGATAGAGTTATAGTTCTTGTGCACTGCACTTCCTCTTATTGTGATTGACCATTGTATGAAGTTGTTTTGAATTCCAACCAGTACGTTTTAAGTTATGCTCCTGACAAGGAAAAGTATCAAAGGGCAGTAACTCTGTATTTTGTCAAAATGGAGTTATGGTTCTTGTGCACTGCACTTCCTTTTAATGTCCTTGACAACTGTATGAAGTTGTTTTGAATTCCAAACAGTAGTTTTCAAGTTATGCTCTGGACAAGGAAAAGTAAAAAAGGGCAATAACTCTGTAATTAGTCAAGATGGAGTTTCTCTCAATGTGCTTGACCATTGTATGAAGTTATATTGAATTCCAACTGTTAGTCTTCAAGTTATGGTCCGGACAAAAAAGGCAATGAAAAGTAACAAAGGGCAATAACTCTGTAATTACTTTAGATAGAGTTATGGTTCTTGTGCACTGCACTTCCCCTTATTGTGTTTGCCAATTGTATGAAGTTGTTTTTAATTCCAACCAGTAGTTTTCAAGTTATGCCCCGGACAAGGAAAAGTAACAAAGGGCAATAACTCTGTAATTAGTCAAGATGGAGTTATGGTTCTTATGCATTGCACTTCCTCTCAATGTGCTTGACCATTGTATGTAGTTATATTGAATTCCAACCATTAGTCTTCAAGTTATGGTCCGGACAAAAAAATCAATGGAAAATTAACAAAGGGCAATAACTCAAAAAATAAAAAATGCAGAGTACCGGTTCTTGTGCACTGCACTTCTTCTTAATGAGATATATCATCCTATGAAGTTTCAAGTCCATAGCTTATATACTTTCGGAGAAATGGCCCGGACAAAAATAAAGTATGAAAATTAACAAAGGGCAATAACTCAAAATATAAGAAATGCAAAGTACCTGTTCCTGTGCACTGCACTTCTTCTTAATGAGATCTATCATCCTATGAAGTTTCAAGTCCATAGCTGTTATACATTAGGAGAAATGGCCTGGACAAAAATAAAGTATGAAAATTAACAAAGGGAAATAACTCAAAAATTAGGAAATGCAGAGTACCGATTCTTGTGCACTGCACTTCTTCTTAATGAGATCTATTATCATATGAAGTTTCATGTCCATAGCTTTTATAGTTGAAGAGAAAGTGTCCGGACAAAATTAAAGTATGAAAATTTACAAAGGGCAATAACTCAAAAATTAAAAAGTGCAGAGTACTGGTCCTTGCACTTTGTGTTATTGAAAGAAGCATGCATACCAAGTTTGAAGTAAATCCAACTTAAAGTGACTGAGTTATGCTCTGGACAAGCTTTAGGGGACGCCGACGCCGACAACAACGCTGACACCGACGCCGACACTGCCGACAAAAGTAATCCCTATATGTCGCCTTGAAAGGCGACACAAAAATAAAGGCTGTATGAGCAAAAATGTTTATATTTATTTTTTAAACCAGTGACCTTGACCCAAGAGACCGCTTACTCCACAAAAAATTAGAGGACCACCAAAGGTATCCACCTACTTAATATGAAAGATATCATTCAAGAAATTAAGCAATTAGGAGAAATTTAAGATAAATCCAACTTGCCGAAATAGGCCCTATTTTCAAAGTGAAAAAAGGGAAATAACTGGGAAATATGGATGACACAGTTATATAACCTGGCAATATCATGTACTTTGTATTGATAAGTAAGTGTGGAAATTATAAAGCCATTAGTATAGATTTAAGATATTTCCAACTTGCCGTTTTAGGTTAACCATTATTCATTTTCTAAATGCTGAAAAGGGCAATAACTTGGTAAATATGAAAGCCAGAGTTATGTAACTTGCCCAGATCATGTACTTTGTATTGATTAGTAAGTGTGTAAACTTAGAAGCCATTGGTACAGGTAGAACTTAAGAAAAATCAAACTTGCCGTTCTAGGTTAACCTCGTACGGACAGACGGACGGTTCAATTACTATATGCCTGGGGGCATAACAAATGTTTTCTGAATGGGAGAAAGCTACAGCTTAGATATTTGACTTGAAATGTTGTTTGGTGGACCTGTATCAAGATTGTTTTGAATTAAACTTTTGGGTCAAAATTTTGCCTGGCCCAAGGGGACAGTGACCTACTTTCTTGTCCTTTGATGTACAGCAATGAAATTTTGACCATGTGCACAGTTTTAGTTGTAAAATTAAACTTTGATATCAGGTGACCTAGATTTTGATGATGTGACCTACTTTATTGTCCTTTGATGTACAGCTATAAAATTTGAACCATGCGGTGGCATGGCATTTTACTCAATACTATTCGAGGCCTAAAAAGGGTGGGGGCGGAGGGTCGAAAGTGCATTGCTTCTCGTATATATGAGGTAAAGGGTTAAATATTCCATTATAGCTATCAGTTCAAAATATTCTATTACAGCTACTAGTTATCTATTTCAATACAGCTACTGGTTATGTATTTCATTGAAGCTACCAGTTATGTATTTCATTATAGCTACCGGTTATGTATTTCATTATAGCTACGGGCTATATATTACATTATAGCTACCAGTTATCGCAGTATTCCATTAACCCTTTTTCCATAGAAAAGTCTCTCATAGAGTAAATTTCATGAAACTTGCTGGTTTTCTTACATTATTTGTGTAATTAAAAGTAAAAATTACACCGTATGATACAGTAATGTTTCAAGTTTTATTATTTAAAATTGAATACAATTAGACAAACACTATACATATAAGACAGGTTTTCAATAGTATATTCATTTCCTTAGTAATTTTTCAAAGATATCAAAAAGCAAAAACTAATACAAATGATGACACTTCATTTGCATTCTTTAAAAAAGAGAAGATGTGTAAACACGTAAATTAGACCTACGAGTATAAGTTAGTTGACAAAGGCACACACATCACCTCAATATAACAATATAAAACGTAAAAAATGAATTAATTTGGATTCAACAGTGACTAGATTTTCAATATATAATGTAACCGATCTTATTTGATATAGATATAGAGATTTTGTGAAATATGAAGCAAACAGATAAGTATACCTGCAGATCAATTTTATATATATATATATTGTATATACAATGAGGGGTGTTCAGAAAGTATGTATAATTGGGCATTATCTTACATTATTCAATCAGTATTGTTGAAATTTGATGTCTGAGTACCTACAACTGTCTGAAGTATAGAATTGAATTTTACAGATTAAATGTAAAAGATGTTGAAGTCTATGAATATAAAGTTTTAAAATATATAAAGTTCCCCTGATTGTTGAGAATATTATGAAATTATACAAACTTTCCAAACAAACCTTGTGTAACTGTAAACTTTATTCCTCTTACATACACTGAAAAAAAAACTTAAAAACCCCAAACCATTTGTTTGAGGAATTGTGGTTATGTTATGAAGTCCCCTTAATGTTTTGTATACTTCATAACAACAATACAAAATATGACTCAATAACAATTCAAATATTGTACATGTATGAGACGTGCTTTCTAAGTAAGAAATACCCTGATACACGATGGATATTAGTTTATCTATTTTTTGTCTTAATAAAATTTTAGCCACTGACAACATCAGCACATGCCACGTGTGACAGTGAACTCATGTTGTGTTATCATACTCAAAATGTACATTTTATGCATGTACCAAGTCATTTGACATCAAATAAAAATCACAAACCTAACTATTACTGGAAAACATGAAATACTTAGGTACAGTAATTATTCATGATTAATTTTCAGTAAAATCTTTAGAAAAAGAAAATTTAATGTACAAATTTCACCTTGTAAATGATTAATCTGGAAAAACTATTAATGAATATTGATTTTAAAATTTTTAGAGTTCAGCTTTTGAATGCTGTCTACAAAATACAAATACATTTAAAGCATTGGATTTCACTTTTCTAAACCATAAAAAATAAATTCTTAAAATCAGGAATGGAAAATAATAAAACAGTGTGCTTGACTTTTCTCAGTGCTTGATAGTTAATAATGATTCTAGGTAATGTAGATTTTTTCTAAGTTCTAAAAGGTCATTATTCTGTCAAAATACATATTTGAATTATGGGTCTTGGACAGTGACCTCCTAATGATGCTGTCAAACAGAAGTTTCAATCCATTCCCCTCAGTAGACTTTGCAATACCAACTTGCACACAAAAACTTAACCAAAATGTGATGTCAACACCTAGGTGAGTACAATAACTCTATTCCCTATTCTTCTAATAGTCAAGCTAAAAATCAGAGCTCAATGTATAAGCCATCTAAGGCATATAGAATTATAAATCATTAACTTTCTGTAACCTCAAGTGATAAACCTTTGCCACCATTATAGAGCCTGACCAGTCTAAACATCTGCAAAGTCCAAACAGGTTCTATATTGTTGCAGTCTGATCAAGCTCTTTACTGTTAGTGGCTCACGTTTTGTATTTTGATATTGAAATCCCTTAAATTTTGAATGGACTGTTCCAAATTAAAAGCAGGGCCAACCAATTATACTAATTCAGGAGGTTAAAGATTGAAATAATGAAGCACATAAATAAGTGTGGCACTGTGCGCCGGCCCGTAAAGTCTTGTTTTTAAATATTGCTGTACCATTGGCATACCCCTTTGAATGCAAGCAACATTACAAGTGTGTCATAAAGCAAAGCCCTGAAGTATGTCTATATGATCAGATTGTTTTTTAATTGTAAATCCTAATTTTTAAATCTAAACACTGATAATATAATGCACAATTTACTATCAAACATTTAATCACACTGATTACCACCTTTCCATTTCTTCACTATGAAAAGATCACACCAATGCTGTCTCACAGAATGGGTCACAAAAGGAATTATATGTTATAACATTTTATACAATATAACTGACCAAAAAAGTTAAAAATAATACTGGTAAATACATAATATAAACTGACTGCACCAAATAGTTTGCAAATGCCCTATCCTACCCGAATCAATTAACACATGCACCTTCTCCTTATTTATGTACTCTTTTATCCCCAACCCCTCCCAAAAAACAAATATGTTTATATGGAAATCATGCAATTCATGACAGTTTACACATAATATCAATATTTTACTATTTACAATTATTTAAAAATATTCTAAAGAGATTATTTTCCAAAAAAATAATTTGTTGGTACAAAAGGCATTTTAGTAACTGTTGCATCCACCATCTTTTTGCGAACTAGAAATTTCACTTTGGTTCCTGGTTTGAAAAAGGCAGGCCCCACGTAACCCATAGCAACGTTCTTTTTCAAAGTAGGTGAAGGACATCCACTGGTGACCTTGCCGATGACCTTTTCTCCTGATTCATCATAGATTTCTGTGCCTCCTGTAAAACAAAAATGTGGTATTAGTGATAAGTGTATTTGGTAAAGATAATTTTATACCATTCAATTAATATAAAGCATTAAAACAATCAACGTAATAATTAAGCAATAGGTTACTGACAGCATGATGATTCTAACAAATGCTACCACAGTGCAGACAAGGATCAGCTTGCACATCTTTTTAAGATCCTTAAAAAACGCCACATTTACCGCAAACCTTTCATTGATTGAATAGAACAAAATAACCTCAAAATAAAGGCTACTTGTTTGTAAAATTTACTTAAAGTTTTCATCAATATAAAGGTTTAACAGTGAAGTGAAGGTCACGGATTAGCCCTTGCCACCAGAATAGAGCCAGAACATCTGTGTATTATGACAAGCCTCTATACTATAAGCGGACCAACTTCATATAATAACATCTTAATATCCTCAAAAATGTTAAAGTGAATTGGTCTATAATAGAATCTTGTAATACTTTAAAATTATGTTGACAGTATTTACTATCAGACATAACAAAAGACCATGAACGAATTATATGTAAATGTTGTTGGGAAGTGTGAGATACATGATCCGATATACAATATATTCATATATAGCAAATAATGAATAGCTATAGAACAGAATATTATTATACATCATATTTAAATGTTCATACAAGAACACTAATAAGAATTGTATGAACTATTTTCTTCATCAATATTTTATAAGAATATCCAAATGATACATTTTTATTGTTTCTATCAGTTATTGAAATACTTATGGAAAATGTGTCCATTGTAGACCAATCCACTTTAATGGAGTGAACACTGAACTCAAACCTAGAACACGGACACAAGTAATTATTAGTCTAATCTTACCATCACTGGCTTATGAAAATACAATCTGTTGTAACATAGCATTCTGTTACATTGATGAAATGTAGTAAAAATTATAGAGGTAATTAGTGCAGTACCAGTGTATACTACACACTAATTACCATAATCAAAACAATATAAAAATCTTAATTCCATTAATGTTTTCAGCTAGTAACTGTTTTAATTATTCTAATTACCTTTACGGACAGGTGTTCCTTACGGGGAATCAATTCAGTGGTTTAAACATGAGAATGTGTTACCTACACTTAATTATTCATTATTTCAAATAAAACTCATCATTAAACAATCTTATCCCTTACCACACTGAAAATCTTAAATAGACTTGGCCAGAAACCAATCTGGACAAAACCATTTATCATTTTTAGGGAAAATTTCAAAAATATGTAATGACTGAGCAGTGCAGACCATGATAGATGACATTGATGTGCTAGTTGATCTTGGTCTGCACTGGTCACACAGGTAAAATCTGTTCCTACCAGCAAGCTAAGGGTTTATTTTTATAACATTATAAACCATTACATACAATCATAACATTATAAAATTATACAAACAATATTAACCATCCCTTACTTTGACAATATTGCTTATAACATGATTGTACATGTTGTTGAGAAACTAACAGCTGTTCAAATATAGTCTTTATGTACTTCCTTAGTTATCAAACCTGTAAAAGATTTTTGCCACTAATAAAATTTAATGTAAAATTTGCCCAATATTTCCTAAACATTAAGTTATTGACTATACACCAGCTGTTACATAAATTGTCCAGATCGCAGTCTGAACATTAGTCTATTTAAGATATTTAGTGTGCAAAGAGATAATGAGAGATCAATGGATACTTATTATTCTCTTTCCATTAGCAGATAAAAAACACTTGCTTACATCACATAAATTATTTACATCTTCCAATATTAATGCTATTAGTATGATGGAAATCCCTTTTTAGCTGACATATACAAGATATAACGGTGAACTGATGTATGGGATTGTATTACAATAGGATGTAATCTGTGGATTTTCTTTCCTTCACTGAAAAAACTTCTTAAACTAAACAAAAAAGATTTCTTACTTTATAAGAAAAAAGTAGTAGTAGCAGGGGACTTATAATTAAAATCAGTATTTTTGTTTTTACTTTAATCACAATAAAAATTGATGGAAATAAATGTTTTTCCTCACAAAAAAAGGATATTGTAAAATTTGGATTATATACTTCATTTTAACCAATTTAATTCTTTTTAATAATATTTTGGATATTGAATTATCTTCTGTAATGACAAAAAGAGGATTACTGTTATAAACTAAAGTTTTCATTGCATAAACTTAAAATGACTAATTTCCCCTTATCTATATGAATGCATATAAAAATCATATTTTAAATCACCTTTATAATTTTTCTTCCATTAAATATTGATATAATTTCACACTTTTTCGATGTATTTTTTTAAATCTATTTATGCAATGTTAACATGTTAAAGCTATATTTGTAAATGGTTAATATATTAAAATAGATTGCAATTATATATTTAAATCATCTTTTGTAATTGACTGCAGTGTACAGTAGTTATACAGTTTAAAGTGTGCCACACTGTATTATGATTTTATTGTTACAATATTTTTACTAATAATTTAAAGGTAACATGGTGAATACACTATTTAATTTTTTAAACCTTTTATTACAAAGATAAGCAAACAATAACAGTTAAGTAAAGACCTTATCGTGGACTTTACCTAGATTGCAGACAAGGACTTAAAAAGTCTTGAGATAATATCTCACTTATCTTCGGTCATAACTCAGTGATAAGGAGTAAAACTTTAAACTTCTCACACTTCATGAAAATGAGGAATTTATTTCGAAAAGGAAAAAGAGTTTTATTTGGATATCTTATAATAATTCTTGCAGTCTTTGCAGTTATAGAAACTCTTCTGGGAAATTTCTACAGAATAAGGTATTAAAGTTTGTCTTTTATTTCATTTTCAAATTTCAAATATTATAATGTACAGATTTAGCATTTTTATACTTTCACTTTTTATTTTTGCATGATTTATACATATACATGTATTTTGATTATAGAATATGAATTGATATAATTTATTTCAATACAATTTTTTTAATTATATCAAACAAAATTTTCTTTGTTTGCTAAAATTTAAATATTTATACATGTATTCTTATTTCGTTTCATGTTTTATTTTCTAAATTTATAATCTTTCTAATTTATTACCCTCATTATACCACTATCAATTTTCACAGCCACAAAGCATGTCACCTAACATAAGACATTCACTTATTATCACTTAAATTTCTTTTCCTCAATTTTCAGATTTTTTTTCACAGTTGCATAGACTTGTTTCAACATTTTTTTTAACTAAATGATTTAAGTGCTTGGGAAATAAATTGTCAAAATAATTATATACTGACATACTTGAGTGTTAACCCTTAAAAATAGCAGCTTATATGCTATTTTTTTGTAATTTCTTTCATTATATTGATTCGAGGCTAAACATTTTTCTATCAGTTATTGTAGTTTTAAAATATAAAGTACAAATATAATTATACAGGTAGGTTTTATATTATTTATATAAATACAATGTAATGTGAAAAATAAGCATCTATCTTAAAAATTAAGTACAGATTTTCAAAAGTGCATTCTATTTTATACCCTGAGCATTTTTAACACCATATTATAATACAATTACAGCTGAGGCAGCTAGTGGAAGGGTTATATAATTGTAAGGTTCCTCTATTTGCAATGAATCTTAAAGCTACTCACCCACACATAGTTGTTTGAAAAGCTTTTGAAATGAAATGTCATTGAAAGAAATATTTACACTCCTGATTCATACACAAATTTACATGGAGCATTATGATAAAGGCATGCATTTGTCTTAGCAATAAAAGCTTAGCCAACAAGCAGCAACAAATTCTAAGAATGCGACCATTTCAGACAAAGATCAAAAGGCACTTTAACCATGCCATTTGATCATGTTCTTCACTGTTCACTATTGAGTCAGTACATTTTGAACATTTTCTGAAACATGATGAATAATTTTGTCCAGATTGAAAGATGGACACGATCCTTTTAAGATATTCAACGTGGTAAGGGATTTGCACTTTTATAAAACTTTATCTATTCATATATGTTTTGGTTTTACAGCACACAACACATTTTGATAATTTGGCATGGAAACAGAAAAGATGAATTTGGCTAACCCCAGGTGCTACAAACTTAAATCAACACCAGGGGTCAAAATCACTTCACATGCTGAAACTAAGAGATAATAGGCTCCAGTTGCATCTTATAACCATAGAGTTAAATGGTGGCTGCAATTCTGATTTCTCAACCCCTACAGGCAACCCCTCTGCCTCTGTAAAGGGGCGCTTAATTGTTTCATAAATAACTGTGTGTGGGTCAGTAGCTTTAAGGCACCTGAGTAAATGATCTAAAAACTGTTTTTCTTCACATAAAAGCTCAAATTTCTACATACTTATATTACATATAAATAATTTATATTTCAGTCCACTCTCATTACCGGAGTCATATTTAACACAACCAATGACAAGAATCAAGTCTAGAATATATCCAACTACCACACAGCAACCAATTATAGCTGCATCAAGAAATAAAATCTTCAATATACCAACCAAACCAAAATCACACGGCACAATAAAATATCCGACAAAGCCAACCCACAAGACATTGTCTAACAAGATACAGTCTAACGCATCTACTTTCAGAGGAGCGACTTGGAACACAAAGGATTTTCATAGAAAGACTATTGACAAAAACTGCACTGTGCTCACTGACGCGTCTAATATAAAAACTCCGTTCAAGTTTTATATATATGATTTACCGGCAAAATTCAATTACGACATTCAAAGGCATTTTACTGACAATAAAAAGTTCTCATTTTGTTACAATTTAGATTTCTGTGGCATGGGAGAAGAGTTGTATCAATTAAGTGATAATGACAAAACTCCAATTGATGAATCTACTGGAGAAAAAGGCGGACAGAGAAGTGTTAGAAACACTCATCAGTTTGCGTTGGAAACTGTGATTCATTACAAATTAATGCACAGTCCTTATCGTACTAAGGATCCAAATAAAGCGGACATGTTTTATATACCAGCTTACACTGGACTGAAGTGCCTCATCTTTGATCATGAATCCCACGCTTTTATAAATGAGCTATTTGAATATTTAGAAGCTAATGAATCCAACTATTTCAATAGCAGTTTACGTAAACCTCACTTTTCAACTATTTCAAAAATACAAAGAGAACAAGCTTCTGAGTACTGTCCATTGTTACGCCATCCTAAAACAAAAGATATTACATATTTTGCAATAGAGAAAGAGTCAAATCCAAACTGGTACAGAAGCAAACAAATTTACGGAAGATCAATAATCGTAGCACCGTATCCGTCTTATGTACATTTTCTTAATCACGATAAAGACAAAACGTTTATGGACTTTCAAAGGGGACTTAGAAAACTTAATGAAAGTAAGTTTAAACTTAAGGTTCCACAATTATCTGAGAGAAATGTAGTTCTATTTTTAGCAGCTGGTACACGGCGGAGTAATTTTTTCAGGGCTCAAATTCTTGACCAATTTTTAGTGCAGACTGATAAAGGGCCTGACGAATTTTACAAAAATGCTACAAATAATTCACAGATAAAAACAGAACAGATCATGCTTAGAACTAGTGAATGCTCCGTAAAACATCGCACCACAACAATTCCGTGGATGGAGAAATCAGTATTCTGTTTACAGCCACCAGGCGATTCACCAACACGAAAATCTATCTACGACTCAATACTTAGCGGATGTATCCCTGTTTTATTCACAGACAAATATAAAACAGAATACCCTTTTCAACACTATCTCGATTATGAAAGTTTTACATACACCATAGATGAAAAATTGATTAGCCGCTATAATAAATCAGTGATTGACATCGTGAAAGGAATTTCTGAAGAGAAAACTAAATATCTGCATGACAATCTTTTGCGTGTTTCAAAGTGGTTTCAGTACAGTGTTCCGAATGATGATGTTTTATTGGAAGATGATGCAGTTACTCTTTTGCTTGATGAATTAGCAAGTCATTATAATATAACTAATACTTTATAATTAAAACTTTCATGTTGCAAAATATATTTGATATCAGTTGCTTTTTTTCAAAAAAAATTTCAATAAAAAATGTAATTTTTAATCCTCAATATGCCTCAGAAATCAATAATATTTCATTTTTTTAGAAAGGTAAACTTGTGTTAATAATGTTTTAACTGGAGAAAGTTGCCCAAAAGGTGCAGAAGTAGAAAAATATAAACATTAAGTTATTAAATTAGTACATGTATTTTGACTTCCATACAAAGTACTATTGAGTCAATATGACGATACTGATTGCAAAAAAAAGCTAAAGATTCATGTATCTAACCATTGATATATACTTTTTGGAAACTGTAAAAAATAAAATAAAAAAAAAAATTTTTTTTTTGAAAATTTAAATGTTAAATGAGGCTTAATTGGGCCTTTAAAAAAAATCATATTTTTTAAAGAAAATATGAAATATGTTATGACTATATATCTAATATGATAAAAGATATAACGTGAAATTAACTTCTTTTATTTTTTTTCAAAGAAACATTCTTTTTTTTTATTGCTACCTTGACCTGCTTTGGAAAATCACCTAACTTTCCATCAATGTGACTTACTGCCGTGATCCGAGTTGAAATAATTACCAAAACCACCATCAGCTAGTTGATATGTTAGAATTTCAATACTACATACTTTGTTTTTTTTTTAATATAGTGGAAACAGAAAAAAAAAACAAATCTCTTAAACTCAATTTTGGATGGCAAGTTATCATTTAGTAAGAAATGACAATCATAACTTATGTATTCAAACCCGAATAGCAATTTGATAACATAAAGTTGTGAAGCTAATGTACCAACTGATTCGAAAAATTAATACTGATAAATTATAATTGAAAGACAGATACATTTCAGTCCATTTTCTGCAAACCACCCTGTACTTGTGACTTGACATGAGGAAAAATGTGTGGTTATAAATCTACTTATGTTTCACAGCCCTCTCGTGCCAAGTGGGCTACCTGAGGTTTTCCACCATGAGTGAAGTTAAGTTGGAAAATCACCAGATAATGTTAACAGATTTGATGTGTCTAAAACACCAAACAATAATTAACCTGATATCCACTATCAAGCAAGGTTAAATAAAGTAATTACCAGCAAAATAACTGAAGTATTAATTATGTTTGTTGGAGGACAAAAGTAAAGAATCAGAAATGCATTCATTATACCTGCTACAATGGAAGTCTGTAAAGATACTGCTGTAGTTTATTTGTTTATATTATCATACATGACCAATTTATTCTCTTATCTAGAATTTGATATAAAAATTTGTAGTAAAAAGTCATGGATTTGATGAAAATTGAATTTGCAAATGAAAAACTGATTTATTTTTTTGTCTCCCCTTATTTACAACACGCCAGATTACTTGGTCAAATAATTTTTACAATGTATGATATAGTGGTTTAATTCATAAATATGCCCAGGCTATCCTTAAGAAATTGTTGCCCTTAAGTACCGTAAAATTCCTAATAAACGCCCCTCCCCTAATAAAGGCCCCCCAGGCCTTTTGATAAGAAAAATAAATCTACTAATCAGTGCTGAACTCATAATTAAAGCCATAATTTTATTCAAATCATTCAAAATCCATTTTATTTTATAGTAAACACAAATATGTATAATATGAACTTTAAAACCTTAACACTTTTTAATGTTATTACATTAAATGTATTTACAGTGATTTTTGGATTTAGGAAAAACTGTGTTGTAATAATAGCCCTACTGGAATATGTTCAGCCCCCGGGGGCGTTTAATAGGAATTTTACAGTATGTACATGTTCACTATTAAATCTTTTGACTGTTTTGTGAAACACCAACATTTATTACGGTTGGCCTAACAGCGCATTAATTTGATTCAATTACAATAGAGAAACTGATTTAATGAAGATTTCAAATAAAATTTTATGTGCTCTTCAAAGGTACAAGAGTTATTGTTAAATGGTATTTTATTGCACCTTAAGTATTGTTAATATTTGATTTAGCGTAATATAAAATGTGATTTACCATTGTTTAATAGCCTGATTAGCCATGTGTCAGTTTAGTCAGTTTTAGTATGTAAATGAGGAAATGATTTAATTTTAAACATATAACTTTCAGTTGCTTTGTTTGAACAGAAAATTATGTTGTGAAAAAACTGTTCAGTCAAATTTATGTCTGCACTCTAAGATATTATCTGATTGTTTCAACAAGCTAAAGTAAGGTTAACATAATGTTTAAAGCTGCATGCCTCCAGATGAGCCAAAATATGTCAAGAAAATCAAACTTGAAACAAAAATTGTACTAATGTTTTAAGAAAAGTAAAAATATTCACAATTCAAGAAATCATTTACATGTTATATGCAATAAATAACTGATTTTGCAGAATCAATTCACCACATTTCTATAGCATGACTTACGCAGTAAGGACTTTTTTTGCATATTCTGGCCTATTTTTGGTAATTTTCTATATGCAATTTGTGTAAATTATTTTCTTTTTTTACTTTACAATATTTTACTTTTAAATTCTATGGCCTTTTCTCAAAGTAGCTGTAAAAGGCCTGAGAACAATTTTAAATCTAAAAAAAAACTAACTTGCACACAATAGGAAAGTCAGCTGTTTTAGAATATGCCATACTCTGCACAGAATAATTATACTTTATGCAAAAACAATCAATGAAGAAGAAATTTGATGATATGGATCATGAATGTCTGTGAAATAGTAAAACTAATTTTTTAAGTCAGATTATTTGAATATTTGTTTAAATCATCTGGACATCAGAGCAGCTTTAAAGCTGCATGCCTCCAGATGAGCCAAAATATGTCAAAATATCAAATTTGAGAAAAATGTGTTGAGATTTTAAAAAAAGTAAAATGTTTCGAGATTTTTTTTTATAATTTTCAAACTACATGCCTATAATGACCGATTTTCCATTTATTTTTCACCATATTTTTTACTGCGTTACTAATGCAGTATGGCCTATTTTTGCATGTTTTGACCTTTTTTGGTAATATACACGGGGTGTAAGTATGGGTAGCATTGTGTAAGTTATTTTCTTTATTCACTCCACAATATTTTACTTTTAAATACATTTTCCAAATTTTCATGAAAATAAGCAGGAATCTGGAGGCGTGCTGCATTAAAGGTACAAGCTTCATATTTAAACCTTAGCCTGTCCAGGCAGCTACTGACTATACTCATTAAACCAGTGCAGACAATATGATATTAAGATTCATGCACCAGTTGCTATTCAGTCAGTACATATTTCACTTGAAGCAATATTATTGACCTATACTGTGTTGGTGTGACGTAAAATCAAACAAAATAAAAAAAAAGGATTTCCCCTAAAAATTATTAATGGCGTAAAATATCCAAATATAAAGGCGGACAAGTAAATTTAAGATACTCAGCACTGTGATATAAGGGATAATTATCTAAGACTATATCTCTTGTAGAATTACCAGATCTAAATACTACATGTATTATGTAGAGGGGAGTTAGTTTCATTTACCTATAATACTAATGAATTATGTAAAAACTAATTAATGATGTGGATATAAGATACAATGTATTTTATTGATTACACTATTGGGAAAAAGAAATTTAAGGCCACTGAAATTATTGCCAAAGGCCAAAAAGAAAACTTTAATGGTGTCGTTTATGATTCTCTGGTAGACCCTGTATAAATTTTCTACCTCTGGCCTGAACATTTTCATTGCACTGATAAGGATGCCTTAATTAAGATATTATATCTTTGGCCTAATTTAAATTATTATATGAAATGATACAGAAAGCAAGTACAGTTTAATTGTTGGTCTATATCCAGTGCAAACCAATATCCTATGGCACAGATCATGGGAGCGGTGGCCTAGTGGTTAAGGTTTCTGCCTCTCAACCCAGAGATCATGGGTTCGAGCCTTACTCGGCTCACAACCATGTTTCTTCATATGACACCAGTACTGGTTGGTTCCAGGAAGCGGACTCGAAAGTGATTAATATAAGTTGCAAGAACTTGTTTCGCAATCGAGCTTAAATAAATATGTTTAAACCAATTTAAACCAACAGATCATGGTCTGCACTTGTTTGCATTCAGTTAGTAAATATTTTGAAGTTGTCCCTAAATAAATATTAATGGACGTGTCCAGATTGAAAACTCGAAAAGTTCATTTCAGATATTTAGCATGTTATGGGTTATGTTACCAGTTCTACACCTTTAAAAAAAATACAATTATTTCTTAAAAGTTAAGGTATATAAACCATAAACATTTCCTGGATAGAAAGACTTACTGTAATTGTTTCACCATTTACGCTATACAAATAACATTAATCTTTCTTTTTTATTTCTTTCGGAAACACCCAAATCAATAATTACCAGCAATTAAGTGTCTGAATGGCCATAAAACAGTTAGATACTGATAAATAATGAATATTCTGCTTTGAAGAGTGTGATTTAATTTAAATAAATGGTAAGATTGTGTTTTTTGCCACCATAAATGTCCTTTGTTAGTAAACATTCAAGTTCTCAAAGACTTTCTTTTTTAAGTTAATGAGCTCCTTGAAAATTGAGTAATTATAGTAACTGTTAATTAAGGCTTTAAATAATGAAGGATAATTAAGAAAATGTTATTTGAAAGTAATTTAACATGGAAACAGTCGTCTGCCACACCAACACTCTTTTGCAACAATTTTGATTGACAATTTTTTCATAGTTTGAATTGATATTCTTCGCTGTCGAGTTCGGACCCCTCACATGTCACTAATCATGCCCTTAAAGGGTAAAGTGGTGATATTTCACCTCAATGCAATTTCCACAGAGTAATTTAGCCAAAGATATTAATTTTGAGTCAAAAGCACTGTTACAGTGGTCAATGAAAATCTAAATTAACAGTAACTTGGACAATATGAAAATGAGATAGCCCTTTTCAGGGCTAGCCCTTTTCAGGGCTATTGGTGCCAAGCAAAGTGCCTGCCTTTCAGGCCGTCACTTAGTGCTTAGGGGCTTACACATCCTAGCACCCTAAATCTTTGAGGTCTCTGTGTACTTTGTAGGGATACTCCCCTTGGCTTCAGTCAGGACATGGGCAGTTTGTTGACAGGTACAAGTTCTTGCTTGTGCCTTCTTACAATGGCATGCACATACCAAGGGGAAGAGAAAAGTTATTATTGAAAAGTTTATGTACTTTTAAATAGCAATTATTGCTTAACTGTATTTGCATTTTAATCAATGTATACATACCGTAGATTGTTAATTTTGTACTGAATTTAACATTAAATTGTAATAAAAGAAATGAGAGAAGCTGACAATTAAATGAGGAAAAGGAAATGATATCAGTATTAATTAAGTAATAAAGCTTTATTAGTGTTGGAAATATATAGCAAACTTGTTACTTTAATTACCCTTACCATGCTAAATATCTTAAATAGACTTGTCCATCGTTAAATCTGGTTAAAACCATTCATCATTTTTAGGGAAAGTTTAAAAATGTGTACTAACTGAATAGAGAACAGCGCAGATAACCATCAGACAGCATACAAGTGGAGGGCAGGGCAGATCCAGAATTAAGCCTGAACAGTAGATTATTATAGTCTTGTTTGCAGGGTTTGAACCTACAACTTTTTAGCTAAGATACCTTTTAACCACAAAGCTTTATCTTCTACAATTGCTGGGCCATTATATACTCAAAATTTATTGCATACCAGACAGGATTATCTACAGATTACACCAGTGCTAGAAAAACCTGTCTTACACCCCAACTGTAAGACAGCTTGCGTGCTTTAAATGACGTCTTTTATGAATGAATTGCGTTCTTAGGATGATGTCAGTTTGCCATTATGAATAGTTATAAATTCATACACTACTGTAAGAAAAATGTGCAACATGAAAATATCAGTTTATACAAAAACTTTTATGTAAATTCTATGGCGAAAAGGGGGCACAATTCTGTCAAAATGCTTGATACAGTTACCTCCTCCTTTCTACAGATTGAGGTCATGATGGTGAACACGTGTGCAAAGTTTCAAATCCATATGTCAATGGACTTTGAAAATATTTAAATTATTTCAAAAACTTTAACATAAGTGGCTACGCCGACGCTCGGACGACTACAATAGCTCTACTTATCGAATAGTCGAGCTAAAAATTAATACTGGTTATATATGTAAGTTGGAAGACAGATAATCTAAAACAATACATAACAAATTAGAAGCAAGTTCTAAACTTATACCAAAACTATACAGATAATTATGAAAACCGTTTTCTTTCACTATATACCAGAAGCTTCATACCTCTTCCAAGTCAGATGACCACACCCATATCAAATGGCAAATATGCTAATTTCTCCCAATATTTAAAAAAAAAAATATCAATAGAACTGAAATTCCCGCCTTCAAAACTGACAAATTTGCTCGAGTTCATTCCAGTATGGTATCAGACAGATATTTCCACACATTTCATTGTCAAATTTTAATGTATTTTTTATTCATTGAATGGTATTTGCATCGTTTGGAATAAAAGATTTTGCACAATTCAAAACACTATGCCAAAAGAGCACGAGAAGGTTTCAAAAGGTACCAAATATATATTTTCCCAATTAAGCAAAATTTTACTTTTTCCCAAAATAGCTAGGAAAAGGCCTGAGCTAAGATTTAGGACAATCATAATTACCTCTAGCAGGAGGCCCTGATGAGGTAAAGCCAACTCTTCGTTGTTTTGGTTTGTCTTTTATCTGTTTAAGAATTATATCAGCACCAGGGAAACCTCCTTCCTCTTTTCTTCTCTTTCCTACAATAAAATATGTCTGGTATCTAAATATAAAATAACAAAAATATTAATTTTTCTATCACCACTGTCTATATCATTATTGTGGTGTCTGATCATTGTGATCAGTGACTGCTAACTAATCAGCTATTTGTGACATTGACCTCTCAAGTCAATGTGTTTTCGAAGAAACATCGCCTTATGCAAAGGAAAGTGTCACCCATCATGTGAAAAACAAATCTAAGCAATTCTCAAATTGATAATATATGCAAACAAGAGCCCAGTTTGAGCCGGGTGATGCTCCCCGAATAGGTTTTGGACACAGGAAACGAAGTACACATCTTGTAGTTTCAGAGTTATGTCCCTGGAAAAAGTTCAAAGTGCAATAATTCCAAAATTAGGCAAGGCAGAGTTATTGTTCTTTGCACTGCACTTCTAATCAATGCGATCTTTCGGGCATATAAAAAGTAAAGATAAACAAAGGGCAATAACTCGAGAATTAGGCAAGGCAGAGTTATGATTCTTGTGCACTGCACGATTCTACCCATTGAGATATATCTACCTACAAAGTTTCATGTTGATATCTCTTATAGTTTTACAGCTAAGATTTTTCTAAAAGGGGAGATAATTCAAAAATGAGGCTTAACAGAGTTATGGTTCTTTTGCACTGCACTTCTACTCAATGAGATCTATCTACCTACAATATTTCATCTTGATATCTCTAATAGTTTTAGAGTTATGTTCCGGACAAAGTTCAAAGTGTTAAAAGTAACAAAGGGCAATAACTCCAAAATTAGGCAAAATAGAGTTATGATTCTTGTGCATAGCATATCTACCCATTGAGATCTATTCACCTACAAAGTTTCATGTTGATATCTCTTATAGTTTTAGAGTTATGTCCCGGACAAGATTTTTCTATAAGGGGAGATAATTTAAAAACTAGGCAAATTAGAGTTATGGTTCTTTGACACTGCACTCCCCCTCAATGCCCTCTACCACTGTATGAAGTTTAAACAAATTATCTCCAAGGGTTTTTAAGTTATGCTCCGGACAAGACAACGGACGGACGGACAAGGCGGCGACTATATGCTCCCCCGAAATTTTTCGGGGAGCATAAAAAGTATAGTATTCGATACAATCAATTTCGGATACATATACATTAAAGGAAAATATCAGAACAAATGTTGTAAAAACAAATATTCGAATATATTTGAATATGGAAAACAAATATTCGAGCATCAAATTCCTTATTCGTTCCCAACCTTAGAAAAGAGTGATTTTAAATGAGCAGAGACAATTATTTGTGTTATTTAATGATTTTCTGTCATCACATAAATTGATTTTAAGTAAAAGAAATTAAATCAGACAATATTTGAGTCACTCGTTTCCTTTAGACATATAAACAAAGGAAGAAACAAGAACGTGTTTGTTAAACACAAATGCCCAAGGCTCAGATTTTTGTCATTTACAATATTTCAAACAAGAGCTGTCACGTCAAGAGAGAGCAAAGCTCGACTACTTAATTACTGGACGCAGTAAGGATTTAGACAAAAACTATGAAAGAAAAATCCATTATGATATAAATATATTTCTGTATCAATATCAAGAAGGCACTCAAATGTTTCATGTTTTTGCACAACATAACATGCATATGATCTTGTCAATAAATGTTAAACAGACATTTCTATGCTTTAATTGAAAAGACAGCAATTTGAAATCTGTGAAATCTGAAGTCAATCCCTACAAAAACAAAAATCATAAGAGCAAAAAGAATTTAAGTTTTTAAAGTATAATAATGAGTAGTATAATAAAGAGTTCAAAGACAAAATAACTCTTGAAAAAATATGCTAGAGTTATGACCTTGTAATGCATGATGTGGGTACTGAAAAAGAACAATTATTTATCTTAAGTCTAGAGTAGATAATAATATTATCATTTTTAATAACAAAGATAATATTAAAGAAATCAATTTACAAATGAATTGTAAGTTAAAAAATTAAATGGAGATCATAAATTCTGGGAATACAGGAGCTTGCGTTTTACAACTATTCTCATATTAGTCAGGCTTGAGTTATGAACCTTGTCATGCAGCATGTATGTAATGATAAGAAATATGTATTTGAAGTTTTAAGTTTATACCTTAAAAAGTAAAGAGGTTACAATATTTCTTAAAGAAAATTCTAAGTTCAAAGGGAGACAAGTCTGAAAATATTGCTTCAAGAGTTATGAACCTTGTCACATAAAAAGTTGGTGATGATAAGGAATATGTATTTGACGTTTGAGGTAGATACCTTTAAAACTAAAGAAGTTAAAGTTAAAAAATAACATTTTTCAAGTTAAAAAAAAATCTAAGTTCATGGGGAGATAATTCTTTTAATACTGGTGCTTGAGCTATGAATCTTGTCACATAAGATGTGGTTAATGATAAGGACCATATATTTGAAGAACGAAGTTGGTCCCTTAAGAAATAAAGAAGGCAAGGCGGGCCAATTTTGACCCCAGGACTTTTATTTGAACAAACATGATAGACACTCACTAGAAGATGTTTCAAGCTCTAGCTCTTTGGGTTTTTTAAAAGAAGATATTTTAAGTTTTTTCTTTTGGTTGCCATTGCAACCAGAGTTCTGTATGGAATTAAATTCTTTTACAAATTATAAAGGTGACCACCAAAGGAACATTCCTGTGAAGTAAAGATGAAACTGGCTTAGCCGTTTAAAGGAAAAGTTTACAATCAGACAGGCTATTGGCCTACGCCAGATGAAAAGCGATCACAAAAGCTCACCCTGTCGCTTTGTGACAGGTGAGCTAAAGCTTTAATACTGATCAAACTTGGCACAAATGCTTTCTGGACCATAGCCTTTGCAATGGCATGCTCAATCTTAAATTTCCTGTTTCCAAGGCAATGAGAGGACATTTCAAAATTGCCAAAAATCACTATGTTGCGTTGAATTTTTCCATCAGAACTGAATTAAAGTGCTGCAACTTCTCAATGGATTGAGATAGAGTCAAAAGCTTTTCATTGTTGGTTACATGTTACCTTAAGATCCACCCAAGGCCATTTTAAAACCTATGACTTATAAATCTAATCACATATGATGAATCTGAAGTGAAGCCATGAGGAAATAAGAAAGTTAAAGAATGAATAAGAAAAAGTCATGGTTTAAGGAGGAAATAATTCTGGAAATACAGACCTTGTCATATAATTATGAAGTGGGAGTTTAAAGTAAATCCTATAAGAAATGAAGAAGTTTGAGTAAAAAATACTTATTTCTTGAAAAATATCTAAATTCAAGGGGGACATAATTCTGGAAATAGTCAAGCTAGAATATTGTGTTATATGTATGCCCCCTATCGGCAGCTAATTAGTCATGTGATCAGGTTATTATAACTGACTTTTGACCTAGTGACCAAAAAAATCAATAAAGGTTATCTACTGGTCATGACTAGTCACTAGGTTGTGTGAAGCAATTTAACGACAAAGTTATCACAAATCTTACCAAATAATATAAGCATGAATTTTATGAATCATGTAGGCATCATTAATGAAAGCCAACACAAATGCACCTGTGAAGTTTGAAGGTAAAGGGCCCATGAGTTGTTGGGATATTGATCAAAAAGCGTTATTACCTATAAGGTCAATGTGATCTTGACATCTGACCTCTTAACCCCAAAAAACCATTGAGGTCATCTTCTGACCAAAAGCAATGCATTTGTAAAGCTTGAAGGTCAGGGGTCCATGGGTTGTCCAGTTATTGATAGAAAACTGTTGTGACATAAAGGTTATTGCGACCTTGACCTTTGACCCATGACCCCAAAATTTATAGGTGTCATCTATGCATCTACAAAGTTTAAGGGCCAACAGCCCATAGCTTGTCAAGTTATTGGTTGGAAACTGTTTTTACCTACAAAGTCAATATGACCTTGACCTTTGACCCCTTGACCTAAAAATCAATAGGGGTTATCTACTGTTAAGTATAATGCACCTACGAAATTTGAGGACCAACAGGTGATGTGTTGTATAGTTATTGATGGGAAACCGTTTTTACCTCTAAGGTAAATGTGACCTTGACCTGTGACCCCTTTACGTCAAAATCAATAAAGGTCATCTATTGGTCATGCGCAATTATCATAACAAGTTTGAATTTCCTAGGCCTAAACATTCTTCAGTTATTGATCAGAAACTGTCTTAACCTACAAGGTCAATGTGACCTTGACCTTTGGCCCCTTGACATTTAAATAAATAGGGGAAATCTACTGGTCATGAGCAATCATCATACCAAGTTTAAAGTGCCTAGGCTTAAGCATTCTTTAGTTAATATTGACTGGAAACAGTTTTTACCTACAAGGTCAATATGACCTTGACCTTTGACACCAAAATCAATAGGGGTCATCTACTGGTCATGAACAATCATCATACCAACTTTTAAGTTCCTAGACCTAAGAGTTCTCTAGTTATCACTTGGAAACCATTTGGTCTATGGACCGACAGACCGACGACAGATAAATGCAAAGCAATATCACTTCTTTGAAGGAGGGCATAATAAATAACTTTATATGAAAAAGCGTAAAAACTGGAATCAGAAATTTAAAAATGATTAGGTCGCCAACGCTCTGCCAGTAGGCCTGCTCTATATATACTCCCTATTGTCAAGTAAAAATGTTGTATACGTATAACCTCCATATTGCCATCTATCCATATTTTAAGTTTCATAAAAATGTTTTCAGTACTTTTTGATAAAACATAATATTGTTATAGTTGCCGTAATTATTTTACGTCTATTTCTTGCCATAGCAATCAAAGTTTTCAACAAAAGAAAAGAAAAAAACATGCATAATCTCAAACTGCCATCTATCCATATATCAAGTTTCATAAAAAATACATTCAGTACTTTATGGGTTATCACAGAATCCAGTTTTGTGGACGGAGGGACACACTCAGACGGACATTCTAACAGGAGAGTAATAATAAGGCTACTCTATTTGTTCTCTCTATTGTTCTTTTTAGCCACACAAAAGGAAATAGC